AGTGAAAATTGGATAATTTAAGTGTAAGTTAGAGGCCAAAAAAGTCAAGTAATCTCCTTAAGGCGGCAGGAAGACTTACGACACGGGTCCACCGCCCTCTGGCTTAACCCCTGCACTCCCGCCCCTCGTATTTTTCTGTTATTTACCTCGCGATTTCCAAAGAGATCGGCTTACGGCCGCCCGAAACCCGAACAGAGAGGAACACGGATAGTAATTTTAGTTGGAAGTTCCTATGTAATCCCTCTGTTTGTCGTATTAAATATTGCATAACTTGAACTACTTTAAGATTTCAGTCGCGATCTTTGAACTTAAATCCCTGAGCTGAGGGGTTAAGACACGGAAGGGTTATGGGATTAGGTCCGAGAGAGCTGGACTAGCAAGTTATCGGGTCTGAGTGGATGCTGCAGGATTACGATGAATATTTTACCCAGTCTGGTAAAATTCGAAACATCGGAACAAGTTTGAGCTGCGATCTCGACATATCTTATTACAAAGGACTTAAAAGAACCCCTACTTTAGCTTGCAATTCCTAAAAAGTGGTAGAATCATTAAATTAATCACTAAATATCTTAAACAGAAAAATGTAATGAACATGATATTATCAACCACTGTTAATTAAAGGTAATACCGTTAATATGGTGCCTGGTTTAATCAGTCACGTGGTTTGTAAACATTTATAAAGGCTATGTGTTATGCTGCTGATAATCCAGGTATTCATTACAGTTATCTGTACAATGTATGTATGATAGTGATTATACTAGTGATTAAAATTATGGTAACTAATAAAATGTTTTCAATTCCATAAATTTCAATGATTTTGTGTGATAAAATCAACAACCACGATAGATTGATATAGGTAATGTACTATATAACAAGTACTCAAGAGTTGGTATATTATGACAGCATCAGTTCATAATTACAGTCGCATCTCAAAATAATGGCAGTGATTTCATTTTTAATCCGGCTCACCATTTTTAGCAGTCAACACGAAGAGAAGTACGAACCGTTTGTAAATTCTTCGTATAAAATTGTGTGTGCCGCTTTCTCCCAAAGCAGTCGATACTGCACAGTTTTTAGGAATTCTTCTGCTGCAGCAAATTCTAGACTTTCATTGCTGTTTGGTGCGTGACGTCAATCGGGTTGCGTTTATTCGGTTCCGGGCAATTCTGTCGGTAGGATATCTTTCCGTTAATTAATTGTGATTGTAATTCATTTATTAGTGATTTTGGGTTTGTGTTCTTAACAATGGAGAGTAATTCAAGCTGGATGGTATTTTAAAAATGAGCTTCCAACAATAAAATAATTTAGGCTGCTTTCTCACAAGATCAGAATTTGCCTAGAATATCTAGAAGGGTGCTTTTGCGAACTATACGTGACATAAATTTCCGTTCTATAAAGCGAAATCGAAAGAGTATGCTGATAGAAAAAGAGGAAATACTTATATGGCGAAGAAACTATTTAAGACAATTATTAGAAGATCGAAAACTAAATCGTAGATATCGCATATTACACGGACGAAACATGGATAAATGAAGGTCATACGGTGACAAAAGTGTGACATGGACTGCATTTCTGGAAGGATTTTCTCTGGATTAAAGTCACCTTCTGGAAAAGGGCGACGCCTATTAATAACGCAATAAAACGTAAAAACAAGCCCAAATATCTCCTAAACGGCTGCTACTATTAAATTAATATTACATTCAATAAAAGGTCTAATTAGGTGAACACCCTGTATCTCGAATACCGAGTCCCGCTGGAAAACAGTTTATAGAGCAAACTCTACTTATTTTTTAGTAATGAATCTATTCCTGCAGTTTCTGTATTTAAACTGAAATTACCCTGTATGTATAGTATCATTATAAATGATAAAGTGTGATATTCGCGGCATGTGCATCAGGTAGGTGTAAGTGAGTGCTGATGGGCCATCGCCGTCCGACAAGACGGCACTCGACAATTGTGGAGAGAATGATAGGTGAGTCTATAAGCTGTTTAAAGTAAATATCCGCCGTGAATAAATTTTTTATTATTTTCTGTTCTTTGACCCCTTCTCAAGTAACACGCCTATGGAATCTTATCCCCTGCACCCCTCACCTCCCTTACTCGTCTAAGTGCTGGATATGAATCATTGCCCATTATTATGGAACACGGGTATAGTGGCCAGATTTGCGTCACTTTCTCCTACTGTATACGCTTCAGACTTGATATACAGGGTGTTACGAAATTCGCGGACACGGACTCTGGGATCATATTAAGCTAGATAAGGTCATAAAAAATGTCTCTATCATTTTTCAATTAGACCGATAGTTTTCAAGATACGGCAGTTTTAATTATCCAAAAATAAAAAAAATCAATTTTTAATCATTTGATAAACAAATGACAAATTAAAAAGTTGGGAAATTTTAATGAACCGCCTAAGTCAACCAATACAGCAAATAACACCAGAGGTAATACGCAACTTCATTAGAGCAGTAGCACAATGTACTGCTGTAGTATGTTTAACAGCAGACGGTGGAAATTTTGAACAATTGTTGTAACTCATCTGTCGTAATTGTTTATCTAATGATTGAAAATTGAAATTTTTAAACATATATTTTTATTATTTTTGGCTATTTGATACTGCTATATCTCGAAAAATACTGGTCTGATGGAAAAATCATAAATACACTTTTTTTTCACCTTATCTAGCTTAATATAATTCCACAGACCGTGTCCGCGAATTTTGTTACACCCTGTATGTGTAGAAGTTGATAGGAACTTGCATATTCAAACAGCTCATCACCATTTAAACATACAGGTTTAATTCAGCAGTCAATTAGTAAATAAATTGTATCAAACTCGGTACCAGGAAAGTAGCTTTTAGCACTTATATATTAACTTTAATAAAGCATTGTTCTTTTGCCTTTGTTACTACTAATTCCTAAAAAGTGGTAGAATCATTAAATTAATCACTAAATATCTTAAACAGAAAAATGTAATGAACCTGATATTATCAACCACTGTTAATTAAAGGTAATACCGTTAATATGGTGCCTGGTTTAATCAGTCACGTGGTTTGTAAACATTTATAAAGGCGTATTATGCTGCTGATAATCCAGTTATTCATTACATACTTATATGGCGAAGAAACTATTTAAGACAATTATTAGAAGATCGAAAACTAAATCGTAGATATCGTATATTACACAAAAGTGTGACATGGACGGCATTTCTGGAAGGATTTTCTCTGGATTAAAGTCACCCTCTGGATAAGGACGGCGCCTATTAATAACGCAATAAAACGTAAAAACAAGCCCAAATATCTCCTAAACGGCTGCTACTATAAAAAAACACCCTGAAACATTTTTCATTCATTTAATGTAACAGCACCTGAATGTAACATTATTTCTACAAAAAATCGACAGTAGCGTATTTTTTTCTTAGGAAAATGGAGCGGCACCTCCAGCAGCAGGCTACTGGTTAAAGCCACAAAGTTAATATTACATTCAATAAAAGGTCTAATTAGGTGAATACGCTGCTGTAAATTTCATTCAACTTCGTCAGCGCATTATGAAGATATAGCAGAAAATATTTTTTTTTGTAAACACCCTGTATCTCTAATACCGAGTCCCGCAGGAAAACAGTTTATAGAGCAAACTCTACTTATTTTTTAGTAATGAATCTACTCCTGCAGTTTCTGTATTTAAACTGAAATTACCCTGTATGTATAGTATCATTATAAATGATAAAGTGTGATATTCACGGCGTGTGCATCAGGTAGATGTGAGTGCTGATGGGCCATCGCCGTCCGTAAGGACGGCACTCGACAATTGTGGAGAGAATGATAGGTGAGTCTATAAGCTGTTTAAAGTAAATATCCGCCGTGAATAAATTTTTTATTATTTTCTGTTCTTTGACCCCTTCTCAAGTAACACGCCTATGGAATCTTATCCCCTGCACCCCTCACCTCCCTTACTCGTCTAAGTGCTGGATATGAATCATTGCCCATTATTATGGAACACGGGTATAGTGGCCAGATTTGCGTCACTTTCTCCTACTGTATACGCTTCAGACTTGATATACAGGGTGTTACGAAATTCGCGGACACGGACTCTGGGATCATATTAAGCTAGATAAGGTCATAAAAAATGTCTCTATCATTTTTCAATTAGACCGATAGTTTTCAAGATACGGCAGTTTTAATTATCCAAAAATAAAAAAAATCAATTTTTAATCATTTGATAAACAAATGACAAATTAAAAAGTTGGGAAATTTTAATGAACCGCCTAAGTCAACCAATACAGCAAATAACACCAGAGGTAATACGCAACTTCATTAGAGCAGTAGCACAATGTACTGCTGTAGTATGTTTAACAGCAGACGGTGGAAATTTTGAACAATTGTTGTAACTCATCTGTCGTAATTGTTTATCTAATGATTGAAAATTGAAATTTTTAAACATATATTTTTATTATTTTTGGCTATTTGATACTGCTATATCTCGAAAAATACTGGTCTGATGGAAAAATCATAAATACACTTTTTTTTCACCTTATCTAGCTTAATATAATTCCACAGACCGTGTCCGCGAATTTTGTTACACCCTGTATGTGTAGAAGTTGATAGCAACTTGCATATTCAAACATCTCATCAACATTTAAACATACAGGTTTAATTCAGCAGTCAATTAGTAAATAAATTGTATCAAACTCGGTACAAAAAAAGCAGCTTTTAGCACTTATATATTAACTTTAATAAAGCATTGTTCTTTTGCCTTTGTTACTACTATCCCATTGTTGCAGATTAATATCTATATATGAACTAACATCTTAATAAAAAACAATAAATTAATGTCAGACTACAATTGTGGAGAAAATTTTCATACAGAATTTATTTTTACCGTTACCGTTTTAATGTTAAAATTCATATTACCGAAGATTATTTGCATTTTTACTTACAATTGGTATAATTGCAAAAGGTCATTTTTTAAATCTATGAGTTGCCTTCAGTGGCTTTCTCTTACCTTGCGATGGCCTCCATCGTGGGCATCCCCTGGTTCTTGATGACGGAACCGTCGTGTCTCGCCAGATTGTGCGGCATGGCGGGGGAAAGAAGGGCAGAATGTGCAGCTGCGGGGTGGGGAAGCTGCATGAACTGCATGTGACTGAGGTGTGGGGGGTGATTGTAACCGTTTGCTAGTAGCGGTGATTTTTCCATTCTGGAAATATCTGCAACAAAGAGATGTTTGGATTTAATAAAAAATTTAACTATAGACGACAAATGTATTTTTAGCACGCACAGGACGTCGTACACTTCATTTTACGAAATGGTGATTTTTTGATAGTTTTTTCATTAGATATCCTCTAAGATGATTGAAATTCATTTATTTGACTTGACACACTGTAACATTGGGAACATTAACTTGTAATTTTCAAACTTAGAAAGTAATGGTAGTTTATTAGTTTCAATTGTTAAATATGTTCATTTGAAATAAATAAATTTTCAAAAATAAGTAAGTACTCATATTATCGAAGAAATTTATTCAATTAAATTAATAAGTAACAGCTGTACGAAAATAACTTTTTATTATAGAACAAATGTCTTTTTCATTTCAGTTAATAAACGTATCTTTTTGACATCTAAACAAAAGTAAAGTATCAATTTTTTAACAGTTTTTGAAAAAATAACAGCTTGCCTAGGGAATCTGATGATGTCCACAGAAAGGCAAGTTTTGCATTCCTTGTTTAATTTAATCAACAAAGAAACGACCAGATATGAAACAATATTTTTATTAACAGTATCTTTATTTTCCAGGACGTTACAGTTTCCGAGATTATTGCGCAATGTGGTACAGTTTTAATAAAATAATTACACCTCAACTGCCTTAGAAATGAAACAGGAAAACACAATAAATAATCATAATCTTCTTTGTACAGACGAGAAATCTGATAATTTCATTTTATTTATGTTCTATTGTGTGAAATTCTTACCATTCCTTACTATTTGCGAGGCACTGTTTAAATAGGAACTGTTTCTTTTATTAGCGTTATCAAGATTTCCGCGCAATAATTATCTAAGTACAGGGCGTTCACGTATAGTTGACCCACAGTCTAAACTTTTATTTTTAGATTAGAAATCAATATTTAACAAATCTGTCGTATTAGGCTTAGATTCCAATGCACCATCAGGAACATTTTATTTAGACGAAGAAATTGTTGAAACCAAAAATCAATTAACTCTGATATGTAGTATTTTTTTAATACGAATTTTAAAAGATATATATGCTAAATGATCCCATTGTGATCTAGTGATTTTTTTTTGTTTTCTTTTTCAATTAAGTTATCAAGGGCACCCTCTGGTGGAGGTCGGCTATTTACTAATGAATACGCAAATATTTTGGCACAAAGAAGGTCCGTCGCAATAAAGGGTCGCCATATAAAACAATCTGCGGTGAAATGCTGTCGTGGGTCCCGCGATATTAATCCCAAAAACGCGCGCGGCCACAGAATTCCACAGTATCGGCGCCTTAATTACCGATTGTCGGACAACAAAAGCTTTAATAACTCACATACCTTGTCCAAACATTTGCGCCAATCGTACGTAATGGCGAGAGGAGAAAAATGGCAATTAAAATACTTGGGATCATTTCGGCAGAGGCGCAAAATGTTATCGAACGCGGTTTATATCCCACACACTTGTTGGGAAACAAAACAATGGCACCCTCCCTGAAAATATACTTCTGAAGTTCAGTTATGGTAACTACAATAATCTACATTGTAAAAGAAATGGGTGTGAGTAAAAGCAATAGAGTGAATCTATTGAGTGAAATTATTGAGTACATTTTCATTCACTATCGAGCATTTTAATAATTTTACTCATTTGTAATAATATTTCAACTAAAACTGAGTACTTTCACTCAAATATAGGTACCAGTTAAATCAATTCTACAGAAAGACTCGTATTTGGTACACTTGCAGCTAAATCGGAGTAAATGTCCTCATTATTGAGTGACCCCAGCCCATTCTATGGTTGTCGTGAGTTGTCTTTGTTATTCCCATCGTCCCTATTAGGTCATCTCGTGGCGTGGTGTATGGCGTATGGTGCTGGACAAGTGTCCGTTAATCTGGTTATTTTGGTGAAAATTATGTTTACGTAAGTGGTTTGGTTACAATAATTAAAAACAATATATCGCGTCTCGATTAATATTTGGTTAAATAGACGGATATTTAAATTGTTACCTATACTTACGTAAGTATCTATTACGTACAATATAGGTTATGGCAATCTATTCGTCCGATGAGTTAACCAATTCCTTTAAGAGAGGCCTAAAATATTGTCATTGTCAACATATCTGTGTAGAAACCATTGTGGCAACTTAGTACTTTATAACTTTAATACTCAGAATATAGTCTAAACTTTCTCACTTGATAGCAGAAACTCGGATATCACTAAAATTTACTTACTCCTGTTGCAATAGTTTCACTCATAAAATGTTAGTTGAACTCATACTAATGGAGTGAAAATTTCACTCAATCGGGTGCGGACAGAAATTGATACATTATTGAGTAAAATTGAGTAAATTTGAGTGATTTTTTTTTATAGTATATGGGTAATGGATGGATAGATTCTATTTGGAATATTATAACTGAAATACAGTTCCAAACTCTATATTTACTGAATTCCAAATTCAATTTTGAGCGGAATTTTATATTATTCCAATAAACGTTGGACCGTAATCCAACTGTATTCTATTTTGATTGTTCTTAGATTTTAGTGAGAAGAAAAATCTAATCCAGGTAAATTTAATTTCTAATTGAACCATTCCAATAGGAATGCAAGTAGAAACTCTGTGTCTATAGGATTCCAATTTAACTTTAATAGAAAGTTTGTGTTATTCTAATAAAAAGTGGACCGTAATTTATATGTATTCCATTGGATGGGTCTTATATTTTAATCATAATTGAAATCAAAGAACCCCGCACAAAATCAAAAATCAATGGAAATTTGATCCCAGTCGATTTTGCTGATTACAGTATATTATAGTTTTTGACTTTCTGATCAAAAGTTGTAATGGGCCCAAAGTGATCCTATGAATAGTCTCAGAGATAAAGAGGGGGGGGAAGTATGTGATTTTGGCTGTAGGCCCGAGTAAGCTTTACGAAGTTTCAAGTTAATGTATTCAAAAACTGAGGCATGTAATGAATTCTGGCCAGTAGGTACAATGCTTTTGGGATCGCTGAACTTGAATTCGAGGATAGCTTATCTATCTAAGGTCCCCTGGAAGTCAGGTAAAGGTCGTTTCAAGGTCAAACTGAAGAAAAGACTTATAGGTATTGAATTTTGACCAGTGAGTGTATCGGTTTTTGGGCTCGCAGAATTTGAATCTGGAGATAGCGTAACCTTAAGGTCACCTTCAAGTCAATTCAAAGTTATTTCAATATCAAAGTAAAGAAAAGGCTTGTATTGAATTTCAACCAGTGCGTTGATAAGTTTTTTTTAGGGGGCGGGACTGAATTCGGGGATAGCTTAGCCCTACAAGGTCACATTTCGGTCAAGTCAAGATCATTTCAATGTGACAGTAAAGAAAAGGCCTTCCACGAATGTTAACCTGTACGTATGTATGCTTTTGAGGTCGCTGAACCTTAATTCGGGAATAGCTTAGCCCTATAAGGTCACCTGCGAGGCTTGAATTGAGATGAAGTCAAATGAAATGACCTTGACTTGATTTCCAGGTGACCTTATAGGGCTAAGCTATCCCCGAATTCAGTCCCCCCCCCCAAAAAAAAACTTATATACGCACTGGTTGAAATTCAATACAAACCGTTTCTTTAGTTTGATCTTGAAATGACCTTCAATTGACCTGAAGGGGACCTTTAGGGTTACGTTATCTCCAGAGTCAGATTCTGCGAGCCCAAAAATCTATACACTCACTGGCCAAAATTCAATACAAGTCTTTTCTTCAGTTTGACCTTGAAACGACCTTTACCTGACCTCCAGGTGACCTTAAATTGCTAAGCTATCCCCGAATTCAAGTTCAGCAATCCCAAAAGCATTGCAGGTACTGGTCAAAATTCATTACATGCCTCAGTTTTTTAATCCATCAACTTGAAACTTCGTGAGGCTTACTCAGTCCTACAGCCAAAATCAAATACTTCCCCCTCTTTATCTCTGAAACTATTCATAGGATCACTTTGGGCCCATGACAACTTTTGATCAGAAACAATAACATACTGCAATTTTAGCAAAATCGACTGGGCCCCTTTTTTCCAATGATTTTGTGCGAGGTTCTTTGTTTTTGGGTATTAAATTTGCTTAGACCATATATACCAATCTGGAAAAACTGTGATTTCATAGGTTTGGAAGTGTCAAGGAATTGCTATAATTTTCAGAAAATTTTTTCTAATTCCAACTGATTTGTTTTACAAATTGCTACCACTGATTGTGAATATCACATCGCTGATAAGTAAATTCGCTACTAGTATTAATGTTATGACAGTTACCACCTGTATGTTTGTTGGCTGACTGTCATTAAGAATTAGAACCTTTCTTTAAGTATCCTGTAATTTGTTTGGTGTTACAATCACAATTATCTAACAGGAATTTAATTGAAACCAAATAATATTCCAATTGAATCCGACTGGGACTGAAGTTTGATTCTGTGCAATTAGAATTCGAAAAAAAACTCAAGTACCTCAAAATCTCGCATTTCATTCCTCCTGCTCCGTCGAGGCACGTCTCAAAGGGAATTCGCCGAGACAAATACCGCCAGGCGAAGAATGAGGAGCGCAATATTTGGACAGGGGTTTTAATTTAAGGCAGAGGTGTGGTTGGTTCATTAAAAAAGTAACCAAAGCATAATTTATGTGGGGTCGCGCGCACGAAACCCAATCGGTTATTATTCATTTGTTTATTATCTCGTCTGTGAACCGATTTGAATGGGAAAAAAGACGAGGCCGGAGCTAAATCAGTTGTGATTGGGCTTGATACTCGGCACGATTTACATACGGCGAGTTATCGCCCTCATCTTAATGATAATGGGTCGGATAGCGTGTATGTGTGTCCGGTCTGGATGAACGTGGAGCGCGTCTTCGGACGGTCCCGTGTGACATGGGTGATGATTGATGAGGATGCCCGGCTAATCTCTCTCTATATGTTGTGTGGCCCATCAGAAATCGAATAAAATGGATACTGACTAATTAAGAGCGGTTCAACGTACC